TCATGACAGTAGGCAGGACACGTCATTCTCTTGAGCTTTCTACCCTTTTCCACCTTCGACTTTTCCCATTCACTTTTTCTCATTTCACTATCCTTAAGATTATTTTCTTCTCTCCTACAAGACTTAGCGCAAGGCTCCGCGGCAATGACGACGGTGTGGTTTATCCTTAGCACAAGCACAGTCGGTGGGCTGCAGCGTGGATGGCAGGGATCTCAGTAGACGCTTCAGGTCAATAGGCTTCTCTGGCTCCCGCTGGAGTAATCAAATTTTCAATTTCTTTTATCCCTTACTCACTTTGACCGGCACGTTTTCAGATAACAGACACGGAAGTTTTCTCTAGCGCGGACACAACAACCAACCGGGTCGCAACGCGGCTGGCACACGATGTGTGGTGGGCGAAAAACCCCGAGCCAGAGCATTTGACAAGGCCACACGACAAGCTGAGCGGTATACATTGCTTGCACCGAGCCAATCTTCTCTTTATTTGAGGGGGGGCCCAGTGCGAGACATCGAGGATCACCGTTCAACTTTGCGCGACGATGGGGAATTTCTTTGCTCGCAAGACAGTTGACAGCAACAACAACGAGCACGGCCCTCGGGGGCAGGGGCGCACGGATGACGAAGGTTGTACAGGGTGTGAGTGAGAGAGACGTCGGCTTCCCACGCACCTGGCATGAACAAACCTGTCAAGGGCGGGACGGGCTCGGCACAGCACATCAGTGACGGGAGGGGCCAGCAGCAGTCTGCGTGTCAAACGCGTCTCTCATCCCTGCGGCCAGCCAACAGCTTTTTTCAGGCTGCGAACACGCGCGCTGACGACAACCAGGCCTCTCTCTGCCGGCCCATTGACTGTTGGTGCCGTAACCGTCCATCGGTTGGCTACTGAGTAAGTCGAGGCAGGTAAGGTGAGTCCCTTGGCTATGCAAGGTCGGCCAGAACAAGGACCAACCAAGGCAGCCTCTACACAGTGGAAAAGCTCATGTCGCAGGGACCGGGCCTGGGCTTGGATTGAGGCCTTGCACTCTGTGTGGATCCTTACTCGCATTGCAGCCCGCGTCATGTGATGGTACGCTGAGGCGAGGATCGATCAGGTTTAGACAAGCGAAAAGGGAGGGGGGGGAGAGTCGAGCAGGACCTGTGCCTGGGAGCCTCTACTTGACCATGGCGTGCGTGCGCAACCCTGAGCCAATTTATCGAATTCAGGGTCGAGCAGCGGCCAGCATCGTCCTTCGAGAAACGCGGGGCCGGCTCCCCCTTTCCGTCCCTCCGTCCCTCTCTCTCTCTCTCTCTCTCTCTCTCTCTCTCTCTCTCTCTCTCTCTCCCAGGCCTTTATCATTAGCAACAGCGCGCAAGGCGAGCAGGTCACGCAAAGCTTACACGTCAGCTTCTGATCGGCGCACCTTATCGCTCATGACAGGTCGCAAGGCCAGGGGGCGGGGCATTGGAATGAGCGGGAGCTAAGGGCGGAAGCTAGGCTGACCAGTTGCGAGGAAGCTTCGCTAGACACGACAGTTGAGGCCAGCCGATGTTACCTTCCGTCGTCCAAGCGAAGGGTGCACTAGCCACTAGGCAGGTAGTTACCTACTGTCGCCGGCCGATGACACCGAAACTCTGGCAACGAGGATCCCGCTTTGGGGGCCAGTTTGATGTTCTGCCTGCCTTAGGTCTAGGTAGGTTGGCCAGGACAGGGCAGACAGGTTGTTTCCGAAGGAGCTTGACCCGAGACGAGGGCAACTAACAACTTGCGTCTCGCATGCTTCATTACGTCATTTGCACCAGGACTGCCATGCAGCGCCATGTGAGAAAACCCAGCATAGGGCGGTCGGGGGTATGCAAGAAGGCAAATGGTAGGGAAATAAAGAAATAGACAGAGAGAAAATACAGCCAGAGACAGAGTGTCACAACAAGACTGTCATGGGTGAAGACCCTCCGCTGTCGTGACAGGTCTCCTCTTCCCCCTCGCCTCACACCTTATTTCAGGCCACTCGATGATAACTTTGTGTGCCGATGCTCGTGTCTGTCTGTCGCTCGCTCGTCCTCACCTCACCAACCCACACAGCTTGAGCCACCAAGCTTTGACTGGCCGGCGGTGTAGTTGAAGCATTGGACGCTCGTTGCCAAGCCTGTCGGGTGAGCGCATGTCCCGCTTCCCCTCCATGAACCTGCAGATTCCCATTACCCAGTCATGTGCGTGTGTGCGTCCTTCGGTCCCGTCCATCTGCGCTTCGACGTTGCGGGTACTGCGGATGTGATGGATGGGGATTAACAAGGGGGTGTTAAGGGGCGCAAGGTGCGGGCAGGAGAAGCGCCGACATGCAGGTTAGTGCGCGGGTGACAGGCCCGGTGTCGGCTGTTGGACGGCAACGAGCGAGGCCACTGAGCGACATGGGCCAGTGTCTGTGTATGTCTGTGCCTGTCGCTGGCGAAGGCATCACGACGCTGATCGGGCGATTGCTTGCATGGCAGAAGTATTGGCTTAGGAACGGTAGGCCAATTTAGGTATACCTTATGGGGGGCGACTAGGGCAGGGCAGCTGTTTTACTACCTCTGACTGACGCCTCAAGGGGATAGGCAGGCAAGGCAAGGCAGGCAGGGAAGGCAGCCCAGGTACCGATCACCCCTGCCCCCTTCCCCCGGCAGATCATTCATTTTGGGGGGAAGGGGCTAGGCAGGGGAAGTGGGGGGGGCTCTCAGTCGCGCCTGTCCACATTCAATATTTGCTGCCTCGTATCGTCCAACAACTTTCAAGGCAGAGAGGGAGAAAGATGGAGAAGAGAAAGCCTGATGAGCCGACTCGGTATCCTCTTCATTCCTTGGCAGTCTGGTCTGTTCTGATCCACCAAACTTGACATGGGATACCAATGCTTTCATGTGATGTAGTTGGCTTCGGCTGCGGCAGCGGCGGTACCCTACGCAGGCCTACAGACCACCAGCCGTTATAAGCGTCTGTCTGGCCGTTAGAGCCATCGACCACACCACCACGATCAGCTGCATATGCAGGGCACTGCACATCGACTTCACCACCGTCACGTTCTCGCCAGCTCCTCTCCCGACGCTCGGCGGCTAACACCACCAGCTCGTGCCAATCACCCACCCCGGTCGCCTTCTCCGGTACCCTCCTCTACCACCCCTGGAGCTGCGCCTGGAGGCCACCCACCCCCCCGAAGGACCCGCGATGCCGCGGCACCCACTCCGACCTGCATGCTCGATTCTTCAAGCAGAGCTCGCCCGCCGCGGGCGGTGGCTGAGCTGAGCTCGGCTGGAGACCTCTTCGCTGGCGCTGCCTGCGCTGTTGGGCTATCCAACTTTATTAGGCACATCGAAGTGATCAAGCCAACGAGGGCGGCAAGCACGTGGTGCATATGTGACGAAGGGCCGCGCTTGAGAGTCCCAACATCTTGTTCTAGGCGGGTTTTGGCCCGAATCAGGACATGAACTTGACGAACCCATGATCATCGTGACCTTCCAAGGTCGGAGAGACCGAACACCTATCGCCATACAAACGTGCCGACGTGTGGTCAACCAACCCACTCCCCCTCCCCCACACCCTCGACGAGGGACTCGACAGGCGACCTTTGATATCGCTAAACGCACCCTGCGTTGGCGCGACTCCAAAGCCAGCAGGACGCAAGGCACATACCAAATCTTGGCAAGAAACGGCAACCCATCATCCACATCCCATAAGCAGTGGTGGGGGCTAGTCAGACTGATGTCTGGTTTGGGGGCCAAATCATCAATCTATCTTTCCTCCAATGCATGCTCTTCGTTCTTCTTAGCGAGGTTACCTTGACAAAACAGTGCGCCGCGCATCAGTCGACATTGGCCGCCCCCTCGCTTGCTGCTCTCATCGGAAGAGCCCGCTCGCCAACTCAGGCAGCCGCCAGCCGCCAGCCGCCGATTTTCCCCCCTCCCTTTTGCGCCGCTCATGCTTTCCTGCACCGACGTCACGCCTCGTGCGAAGCCTGCGGAGTGAATCCTTCGAGGCCTTCTTCCGGGACCACAACCTCAAGAACACCATCCGCGTGCCCCTCCTCAGGCTGACGGCTGTTGTAGGCCGCACAATCTGGTCTGCCGCGCTACGATAACCGCTCGCGCCTTTGCTGTCCCCTCCTCCCTCCCATCTCGCTCTGTGGCTAGCCGGGGTCAGTGTGACCCATCTCTGCTTTCACTTTCTCAGTTTCTTCTGACCTTTTTGTCAGTTCCTTGGTGTACAAGGGGGGGTGAGCGAATGGGGGGGCACGACAACCCATCCCCTCCCTCACCCGCATGACGGGCCGCGATTGCAGACCAGGCAAGGCAGATACGCAAGTCGAGGCCCGAATCCAAGGCCGGAAGCCTCGTTCGGCATCAAGATCTCGCTCGGCATGTCTCATTCAAAAGCAAACCAACTGCACCAACGGCGTATGTGCGGCTGTTCAAGAAGGAAGAAAGCGGGCGACCGGGGGCCGGGGGGGGGGGGGGGAAATTAGGAAAAAGGGAACTCGGGAACCTTCCGGCTTACCCCCCGGTCCTGGGCTCCGGGCCCGGCTTACGAGGCCCCTGGGGAGGGGGGCAGGTCTAGGGAGGGGACGGGGAAGGGTCATTAGGAAAGGTTGGTTTAACAATAAAAGGGGGGGAAATATTTCCTTTGGATTGGCAGGCTTGGGGATCGGGGAGGGAAAAGGGGGAGAAAGGGAAGGCCCCGGGACGGTT